GTGTATGAGATTCTGACTGGAAAATGGTCATCGGAGATGATAAACTGGTTGTTCATTGTCGGTCCTTAATGCACAGCTAGTTTGCAGCGGTAGCACCAGGAAGAAATGAATAAGACTACTCAAGGACTAGGGCTTGGAGGGAGAGATTATGTCATCAATGTGAAATGATGATGTTGCCCCTTCTCTCACGTGGGAAGGGCGAATACCTGTTCGTAAATAAATTGGGACGATGTGGGAATTCCGCGTTCCTTGATAACACGTTTTCTGGGAGTGTCGATTTGTCACTCCCAAAGAACACGTTTTCTGAGCATTGTTCTCACTTGGGAATGACTTGTTTTTCACATTTTTTCCAAACATGTTTTTGTTCCGCGGGAGCACCATGGACGAGAGAAACACTCCCACGAAACGTTGCCAAATAGGCCCTAAATTTTCATTCATATACCCAATAATCAAATCGATCTGAAAATTTTATAATAGAGAGTGTTGGTTTTGGATGATGTAGTGGTAAAGTGTATAGGGGTGAACCCTAGAGTGCTAGTTTCTGAATAATTGAGGGAAGAGAGGCATTTTTGCATTGTTGCTTGATCTTGTGTGAGGCTTCCACACTAGGGTTTTAGATAAAGAAGCTTGGGCATCTTAGGTGTGGAGTTGCAAATTGTCCCTGGGCGTAAGGTTACTTGGCTGCACCAGGTTATCCCCTATCTCTGTGTTGTTGGTCTTTGTTATAAGATAAGCTCTGCTTTTTGGAGTCTTACAAACCTTGGTGTGTTAGATTTATCATGCCTCCTTTGAACACCTGGTGCTTAGCGATTTTTCAGGGAGTTAGGTGAATGTTCTTGCTAGGTTCATTGAAGCATACTTGGGCGGAGAATAAACTCTGATTGCTTCAAGAAAGATTCAAGATATATTATCTGGTTCTGGTTTTGGGACTTCAGATCTAGAATTGTTAGGGCATATATAGTCTTTTGAAAATTTGAAGAACCATGTGTGATTCAGGTAATCTCTTAAAAATAATAACATATCCATAAAGAAAAAAAGTCAAATTGTTTTGACTTGTAGATAAAATCAGACCCCTTTTATGAATTCCATTAAACAACACTCACTTTTTTTTAATTACAGTGGTTGGAAGTGTTGGCCAGATTACTGGGGCATATTTGATTTTGAATAACGATAGCTGAAGATTGCCTACTGTTCGAGAGGAAACATGTCCTTAATTGCTTGGCTATTGGCTATATATGCATTTTTTCTATAAATGAGTGATTCTAGAGCTTCATCTAGTAGTAATCTCCTCCCTCGGGAGATTTTAAGTACATGTTGCAAATGTGGAGAATCATATTTTGCTTGACATAATGCGTATCATAGTTTATACATGAGTAAAGCTTAACGGTTCAACCCAGTTCCAACATTTAAAACATTGGCGACCAATACACAGTTAAGAGTTAAGACAAAACACGTTTTGAGTTTGAAATCCACAGTCTAACAAGTGAAAATGTGGGAAGAAATGTTACGCCCAGATTCAAGAGATATTATCTAATTTTGGGACTTCAAATCTAGAGTTGTTAGGCATATCTGGGCGGAGAAGGTTGTTACATTTTGAAAATTTGAAGAAAAATGAAGGTAAAGTAGGCCCGTTTGATTTCACTTCTTAAAAGTACTTCTCTTTTTAACAAGTACTTCTTTTAAATGCTAGGACCACACATTAAGTGGTAAAAAATTACTTATGTGTGTTTGGTAAAAGTCACCAAGAAGTACTTTTTTTGAAAATAAGTACTTATAGAAAAAGTGGCATGAGAGTGGTTTTTTTTTTCAGCACATCTTGGCGAAGTGCTTTTTCAAAATGAATGGGACAATTCAGTCCCTAAATAATTTCTTTAACACCGATTTTGCCCCTGCATGAGGGTTTTCTTCCCTCTCATCCTATTCGAACACAACAAGTAGAGGGCGACGACTCCAGTTGCAGGTCCACCGGCGACGATTGACGGTGCGAAAATACGGCTGGCAGACCTGCCATTTTTTCCCTTGTGACTATTTATTTTACTTATTTTATTCGATTTGAAGTATTTTTAATGCCTAAAAAGGCACTATTCTCTTTATTCGTAGATCAGTGACTGGGCAAGTTTACCAGCGACCCCCGACCGTTCAGTCGTTGACGAACGAATGTGAATTTGCCCAAACTCCTCCCCTCCATCTTTTATGTTATTTTCTTGTTTTTTGGGTAAATATTTGTTTGGATTTGTTTTTTTTTCAGATTTTTCAAGTGATAAATCCGAAATATTTACTTTTTTTTGCATTGTCTATGTGATGGTTCTTATGCATAAGTATATTTTTGTTGTGTTATTTATCAATATTATTTATTATTTGTTGTTGTTGTTGTTGTCGTTGTTGTTATTATTATTATTATTTGGATCCACATGGCGCTCCACATGTGGGCTCTCAGGTGTCATGGTGTGGTGATTTTTCATTAAAATATAGTATAATATGTGAAAAGCATTGTTTATATGTATGAGTGAAGTGAGGGCTAAAATTTTCATTTGCATCAATATAAGCACTTGTGGGGAAAGAAGCTCACCAAACATCCCCACCCCAATAAATGCTTAAAAAACATAATAAGTGATTTGGCAAGTGGGTCACCAAACAACCTTAAGTGGTTGTTAAAATAAGCACTTCTAAGCACAAGTACTTCTTTTAACAACCACTTAATCACCAAACATAGCCGTAATCTTTTCGATCTTTCGTTATTGCCTACGAGTTCCTAATGATTGTCCATTATTAGAAATGTCCAAATACTTTTAAATAATTTTTTAAAGGGCAAATTTCTTAAACTATCCCTAAGGTTTAGGAAATCGACTAATTATACCCCTACCGTTTCAATATTGTCTTAAAGTACCCCTATTGTTTCTAATAATCGACTAAATCTTTCTTACCGTCAGCGCTTGTTAATGGAAAGATTAAAAGACTATTTTGCTCATCATGCAATTGTCTGCACATTTTTCAGCGGAGTCTCTTGCATACTAAACCTAACTTTCGCCATTGATGTGGATTAGGCGTTGGTCATCACATGACCAAGTCTCTCCGAGAGGGGAGACGATAAAGCCTATTTCCTCCCACAAGTCATACCAAGTACTAGGCTTTGCCCAGAGTGCTGCCGCCATGCCAACTTTTACTAATTCATCTTCCTCTTTAGTGGCAGTGGTGGATTCATCGTTATCGTCGTTGGGAAAGCCTAGCATCAACAAAGTTCTAGTTTTGCTTAGCAACCTTAGGAAGTAAGAAGTTTAACAAAAAAAAAAGTAAGAAGGAACCCAAAACAACATGGCGAGAGAACTAATAGCTTGAAAATAAAAACATGGAATGGCATGGGAGCATCAAGAAGACGGGGAATTTGGTTTCTATCTCATAAGGAATTATATTGCAAGCAATATTGGTAAAATTCTTTATCCACATAATGGCTTTTAGCCAATGTGTTTCATTTTTCATGAATTATATGAGAAAGTTGAGCAAATAATACACATATGATAACAGACTGGAAATAGTCTTACCACTTCATACATTTGGAAGAGTGATTGCCCATTCCCATTTCCCACCATTGGATCATTAATCAAGTTGGGCAAAATCTACAAAGCAAGAGATGAAAGGCAACAAAATACTTCAATAATATTTAGAAAGCTTTTATTCTCAAGAGAACATTGTGTGTCCATGAATTCAGAGGATAAAAAAGAAGAAGCTTTGTAGGAGAGGAAAAAGCTATAAGAGATGGCCTAAGATCCGCCTTGGATACCCAAAAGAGCATGTTTACGACAAAGTTGCTTATCGAACTAGTTTAGTAGAAACAACATGAAACAAAGGCAGGGGATTGTAGTTTGCATACAAAAGGCCGAAAAAACATAAAAAAAGGCAAAGGGGGACAGGGGAACCCTGTCTATTTGTCAATCGTCATTGATGTAACAAGAGCGCTCAAGGCCTTCCTAGCGTGATGAATGAAAGACCAAGGAAGCAATCGATGATGTGATTTTGGGGAGAGAGACTGGAGGTGGAGGGGGATGTCTGAAAATGTGTGTGGGGGGGGGAGAGGGAGAGGGAGAGGGAGAGAGAGAGGGAGGGGGAGAGAGAGAAAGAGAGAGAGAGAGAGAGAGAGAGAGAGAGAGCAGTCGCGAGAGTGTGTACCAGAGGCACAACCACCGTTGGTGGACAGGGAGTTTTGAGAATGGATAAAGAAGAAGGAGAAAGAGAGAGAGATCAGAGCTAGAGGGGGTTGCGACTATCAAATATGGAAAGAGAGAGACCGAACGTGGGGGTGTGTAGCGGCGGCGCAACTACTGCTGGTGGACGGTGGAATAGGGGAGAGCAGAGGGAGAGAGAGAAAGACCTAAGAGAGACCAGAGGCGGAGGGGGAGATTTGAGAACAGAGAAAGAAGGAGAGAGAGAGGAACCAGAGGTAAAGGGGGTTGTGACCATCAGATATGGAGAGAGAGAGAGACCAGGCACGGGAGTGTGTACCAGTGACGGTTACGCTGTTGGTGGATGGTGGAACGAGGGAGAGCGGAAGTTGAGGGAGAGAGAGAGGTCGGAGGAAGGGGGTGCTGGTGTTATGCAGTTGCATTGAGAGGAAAGGGATGGGGTAATATTGGGTTTTAGAAAAAAAATTATACGTCACATGATATTTTGATGGTATATTAGCAGATGCTAACTGTAGGGATAAGGGTAGTCAATTGTAAGAAATAGTAGGAATACTCACAATACTAAAACAGTAAATGCATAATTAATCAATTTCCTAAACCTTAAAGATACTTAATTAGTTTACAAAATTTGCCCTTTCTTAAATAGGTATGTTTGTCGGTTTGTGTCCAATACTTAACCCTATTCTGTAAAGCAACATACCTCTGATGGTCCGTTTGGTTGTTGAGAAAGTGTTTAGATAAAAAAAATCTTTAAAAAATATTCGATTTTTCAGATGTTTGTTTTGAAGGAAAAAATGGGATGAGAAGAGAAAGAGACGCGGGTTCCCAAAACTCGAAACGCGGGTCGCACCAAAACGGTGAGACCCAACTGAGAAAGGAAAAAAAGCCATTCGTGAGAAAATAATGTCGAGAGCGCCAACCCAGAGTGTCATCTTCTCCTCACACGCCGTCCATCGGTCATCTCGCCGGTGCCATCTCCGACGATTTTTCGAAGGCAAGCTCAGATTTTGCATCCTCTGGCGATTTGCGTTCATTTTTTAACCATTATTGTCTTCTTTCATTGAATGAGCCCCCCCTTCAAATCTCACCGTTGTCTACCTCCATCCCTGGTCGTCCAGACCAATTTTCATTGCCAGAAAACGGTTGATCGTTGTTCTTCCATATCGACAGCCTTTGCAGTTATGCTCAACTTGCATTTCAAATCCCACTCCAAATAAGTTGATAAGAGTGAGGCTGATTAGATTTGCGATTGTGAAGGAGAATGAAGTGTCGGTGTTTCTCAAATCTTTGCAGGAGAAACTTGCTGAAGTGCACCATACAGAAGTTGCAAACAGTGAACTTTCCTCTAATTGATTTGTCATCGATGGTTGATACGGGTAACCCTTTTCTTTCCTATTGAAATGTGATGTTTATCAATCTGTGGCCATATGGTCTTTATCAGTTTGTGTTCATTGCTGGATGTTATGCATCCAGTGGGTACACATGCTGATATGTATGGAGAATAACTCTGGATCATATGCTGGTAATGTAGGTGGCGATCACATGCAGTCATGCAAAGGATGGATGACTGATATTTGGTTAATTTTTTTTCCCTAGAATGTTACAAGATGGTCTAACCTGCATTTGGAAATTAGATTTTCTTGTCTGCTATTCTACAACTTTAAACTAAGACTCATATGCAATGGATTGCAGGAAAGCCCCTCAAACTAATGCAAGACTGTGCAGCATATTCTACTCTTGAAACAGTGAACTACAACAATGATCAGGGCATCAACAAAGTGTCACTGGCAAAGAGCTTAGCTTGTCTGGTTGATGAATCCCCTCTTACTGAGAAAATATGCAAGACCCGGATGGAGCTAAAGAGGCTAATTGAAATCCGGATCAAGAAGAGAGTGAAGGAGCAATATGTAGATGGGAAGTTTCATGACCTTATGGCAAAAGTGGTTGCCAATCCAATGACTCTTCGGGATGCTTACCTCTCTATTAAGCTTAACTCAAACATTTCTTTGGCATATGAGGATGATGACATCTTTTCTGAATCCATAGCAGAAGAGCTCTTGAATGGGAATTTTGATGTTAATGCCAATACATTCTCTATCTCCACAAAGGGCAAGAAAAATGAAACCCTGGTCCTTCCTAATATAAAGTTGAGGGTTGTTCAAGAAGCCATCAGGATAGTTCTTGAGATTGTTTTTAGGCCTCAATTTTCTAAAATCTCACATGGTTGCCGCAGTGGAAGAGGACATCATTCAGCTGGAAGATACATATGCAAAGAGATACATAATGTAGATTGGTGGTTCACATTGCATGTGAATAAAAAGCTTGATCAAAGTATTTTGGATAAACTCTTCTCGACAATGGAAGAGAAGATTGAAGATTCCAACTTGTTTTGTGTCATTCGTGAGATGTTTGATGCCCAAGTACTGAACTTGGAATTTGGGGGCTACCCTAAAGGCCATGGCCTTCCACAGGAGGGCATTTTATCTCCTATTTTGATAAACATATTTCTGGACCTTTTTGACCATGAATTCTACAAAATCTGTATGAGATATGAAGCTCTTGGTTTTGATGTCAGTGTGGATCGAGGTGGATCCCATTCAAAGCTGCGCAGTTGGTTTAGGAGGCATATGAAAGATGGTGACCATAGACATCCAAATGTAGAGAACACTGGTTTAAGATTGCATGCCTGTCGTTATATGGATGAGATATTTCTTGCCGTTTCTGGCACTAAGGATGTTGCTCTCAGGTTCAAGGCTGACGTCATGAACTACTTGCAGAACTCTCTGCATTTAGATTTGCAGGATCAGACAGAAGTGCTACCTGTTGTTGGCCCTCAAGGAATTCAGTTTCTTGGTACTCTGATTAGAACAGGTGTGAGAGAGAGTCCTGCTATTAGAACTGTACACAAGTTGAAGGAGAAGGTTCAATTATTTGCTTCACAAAAGCAGAAAGCATGGGATTTGGGGACGATTAGAATAGGAAAGAAGTGGTTGGCTCATGGTTTGAAGAAGGTTAAAGAGTCAGAAATCAAACATTTAGCTGATTGTAACTCTGGGTTAAGCAAGATCTCCCATTTCCGTAAAGCAGGGATGGAGACTGATCACTGGTTCAAGGTGTTATTGAAGGTATGGGTGCAAGACATAAATGCAAAAGCTGAAAACCATGAAGAGATAGTGTTGTCAAAGTATATCTCAGAACCGGCACTACCTCAAGAACTAAGAGATTCCTTTCATATTTTCCAAGAGCGTGCCAAAGAATATGTTTCCTGTGAGACAGCCTTAACACTTGCATTGTTGCCCAATTCAAGCACCACAACCCAATCTATTACCATCACCGAGATTGTGGCTCCTATTAATGTTATTAAGAAGCGACTTTTGCGTTATGGTTTGATCAACAGTGAAGGACACCCTCGTCCTGTTTCATCACTAATATTGCAAGATAACACCCAAATAGTTGATTGGTTTTCAGGTCTTTCCAACCGATGGCTTAGATGGTACAGTGAATGCATCAACTTTAATGAGGTTAAGCTCATTATTGTCAATCAAATAAGGAAGTCATGCATCCGAACACTGGCAGCAAAGCATCGAATGCATGAAACTGAAATTGAGAAACGATTTGAGATGGAGCTAACTGGGATCCCTTCAACCCAAGAAATGGACCTCGAGGTAGTTGATGAGATGTCAGACTCTCAGTTTTCTTATGATAATCAGGCACTAATTTATGGCATCTCTTATAGTGGCCTGTGTTTACTATCTCTAGCAAGAATTGTAAGCACATCAAGGCCTTGCAATTGTTTTGTCATGGGATGTTCTGCTGCAGCACCGGGTGTATACACCCTTCATGTGATGGAAAGGCAAAGATTTCCAGGTTGGAAGACAGGATTCCCCGCGGCAATTCATCCCAGCTTGAATAGGAGGCGAATAGGATTATGTAAGCAACATGTGAGAGACTTGTATCTGGGTCATATATCACTTCAGTCGATCAATTTTGGTGCTTGGAGATGATTTTTTAAGCCATGATGCGTACAACAGGATACTTGAAGACATCTAAGAATCTCTTGCTGGTGTCGTATTGGATGGCCATAAAACTTGATGCATCACAGGACTAAAGTCTTTGTGAAGATCAAATTTGAAGTTTGTCTTTATGAAATTGAAAGCACCTAACACTAATTGGCAAGTGAAATGTAAGCTTGGTGCGGTCTGGGCTACAGTTACTGTAGGACACTCTAGGCTTACAGTTCATTGGGCTCCAGAGCTTAGTTCCCACTATGGAGATATTATGGGCAGAGGATAGGTTGTCAAACTGATTGCATCAATGTGGTTCTGCTATATGAATTTGGACTATGCTCTTGCTTGGATGTTGAAGAGTTGTACTTTTGGACGCTTGGACAATATGTAGAAATTACTTGGCCAGTGTTTGCCAAGTCTTTCGGCATGGGCTTTTGGGCTTGCAAGCTTGGCAGACAAAAAATTGGTCTTATTCTGTTTGGTAACGGGAAAACGAATAGATGTGAAGATGCTCCCTGAAAAAGACCAAAACCCATGAATTTTAGGAAGCTTTAATTTGAAGCTCCCATCTTTTGGGGGTCTCTAAACTTCTGAAAAATTGGGCCTCAGCTAACCGATACATGTGCATATCCCACACGTGACCTGAGCGTTTGATGGGGGTTTGATAACCCTCATTTCCATTTGAATCCAGGCAGAGGAACACCAAGGAACAGAGAGAGCCCCATTCCGCACTCAGGTATTCCATCTGTTCTTTTTCCTCCTCTTTCTTCTTCTTTTGGAATGTTGGCTGATTCGTTTTTTCTGCAATTTAGGAGATTTTCTTCCTACTTAAAATTGTCAGTTTAGGGTTTGAAAAATTTGGTTTTGCACCTGTATAACTGGTTATGTTGATTTGCTTGTGTGTTAATCAGGTGACTGGATCTTGCAAACCGAACTGATCCGGTTGCAGCAAAGCTGTTATTCTCATCATAATAGCCCAATATTATGTCATTGTATTTTCACAATATTGTTCCATTTATGTGTGAATTATGGTTAAATTGAGTCCACTGGAAAGAAAGGGTTTTTACATTGTTCTGATTTAGGATTGATCTTTGCAGTAATGTAAAATTTTTGTGAGAGAATTACTTCTTTTGTAATGCCTTTTATCATGAACACCAAGACGCTGATGATTAAACATCTATTCTATTGGGTTGGTTGGATTGAGCCTAACGTATATGCAATCACCAGTGATGCTTAGGTCTTCTGTCCTGATTAATAGCTGTTCTGTTATAGCTCATGAGCTTGTAATTGTAGCAGGTGGAGTATGGCAGAAAGTCATCTCATTATGAATGAGGGTTTGGAAAAAAAAAAAAAACGTTACATGATGTTTGAGAGATTGAAATTTTCCAATTTGGACTTAGCTATGGTCCTTTTATGTGCTTCTTATTTATGCCCTTTCTCTGCTGCAGTGAATAGAATCACTAGAAAAGGTTGCCCTGTTTATCCAAGCACAGTTGTCTTGTTTTCTGTTATAACAGAAGCAAGAGCCTTGTCTTTAGTCTCTAAAACATCTTGGAAGGTTATTTTTTCTATGGTGCATAAATGCATCCTACAAACTTGTTTATTTTGCGTTATTTTGGCATCATTAGATATGTAATCGAATTATCTAAGAAGACCACGATCATATAGAACTGACATGCTTTGATCAGAGAATTATGACCATTTTATTACTAGGGTATCAATTCCTAATGTGATTTGTATCTTTCTAGTTTTTTAGGCTCATCTAAGAGTTGTTTGTTATTTGTTTAGATTTAATAGTATTAGTAATATATTGTTTTTTTGAAAGATCTATGCGCTTACCTTTTCTTAATTAAAGTGATTAGAAGTTTATTTTGAAATTGAAATTTAAAAATAGAATCAATGGAATGAACAGTTTGTTTTGACATCACTTACATAGAAGAGTTAATATCATTCCTTCTGTCTCATTTCTCTCTTCATATCTAAATGTACAATACTATCTCTTTTCCTCTAATTTCTATATTTCAAATCTTGCTCCTTTTTCTTCTCTTTTTTGTGCTTCAAATTCTAAATTCTTCTTTACTCACCACAAACACCTCAAATACAGAACAATGTTTTATATGTAATTTTTCTGTCTTAACTATGACATTATTTCAAAGTTTGAGGACTACCTTTTTTACCCCACGGGGTATTTAATCTGGCATACCATACCAATAAATAGGTATGACTTCAATTGTTCTAAATTCCACCCATCAGTACACATCACACAAAGCATTTTTCTAGCAAAAAAAAACAGGACATTTAGGCTATGCTTGGTTTGAAGGAAAGGAAGGGGAAATTTGGAATATTCCAAAGGATTCCAAATCTTCCCTCGTTTGGTTTGATCACAAATGAGGAAAAGAAAGGAAAATGTGAGGATGTAAAATCACCAAATGAGGAAATGGGATCCTTCCATTTTAGTCGGAAACCACTTCCCTCGAAAAGGAAAGTAAAAATGAGGGAAAAAAAATCAAAAGCCTCCTTTGATTGAGAGTTTCTTGCTGCTGTAGAAACAATGGTGAATTGCGTACACAGAGAGACGACAAGTTCAACTCAGACACAAAGTAAATTTATTCACCAAGCTCCAACAACTAGAGGCGACAAGGAGAGGTAAGTTCGAATCTGAAACTTGCAGTCGATCTTTATTCTTCTTCTTTTAGTTTTATAATTTGAATGTTTCATCTAGTTCGAATCTGAATCTCTCTTATTCTTCTTCTTATCTAATGATGAATGTATGTGTATTAGGTTTTCCATTTTGCAGATATGTACTGAGGATCATTAGCATAGGTGGAGGGCTGTGCCATTTTTGTTGCAATTTCAGTGGTTACTTGGTATGAACTATCGGCTTTTTCATGTGTTCGCTTCTTCCATCACCCTTTGTTGTGTTGCTCTCAAAGTAGTTGAACTGTTCTATTTTCTTTGGCTCATTCTGTATCTGAGATCAAAAAGTTGAATAGTAATTGCATCCATTCAAACCATACAACTTTTCTTCTGACTAGTTCAATTAATACAGAGGATATAGAAGGATTAATGATAAAATCTATCTATAATAAGGATTAATAAAACCATTGAGCAAATATTTTGAATTCTCTTTTGATTGATCCTGTTCGTTGGTTAGCAAGAGGATAGGAATAATTCATCCTCTGTCTTGAGTAGAAAGGTTGATCTATATCCTGCTTGGCTTTCATTTGTTTATTAAAGAAGCTTTGGTCTTGTTATTCCTATTAAAACAACTTTGATTTTATTTGTTGAATTATTCTTTCTCTGATTTGTTCAATTACTAACTTACTATTGCGAGTTGCTTTGTTTTTCAATTAATATATTACACACACACACACACACACACACACCCCATTACATTATGAATCTCAACATGTTTCATCCTTGATGCAAAATAATTTGAGGCATTGTTATCCATGTGAATGTGGTTTAAAAAGTCATAAATGGTTGGGCTGTCACTGATTCCTTAGCCATCTGGTTTGAGCATTATTGAAAGAGATTCACAAACATTCCACCCCCATCTAAAAATTTCAACAAAATCAGATGGTTATAATCTCATGTGGACCCACAGAAGAAAATCTTTTTTATGTAAAAGTGGTAAAGGGTATGACCAATTAGGGGAGGGGGTTTGCTCTATGAATAAAGAGAGGTTCCCTATTTGGGCTTCTAAATTAAATAAGCTTCCGTTTTGAACATTGAAAGTTGAAAGCCACTCTTCTAGATATCATTGTTAGACAGTTGGACAGTCAAACTGTCCAGCAAAAGTTATATATGCATAGATGTCATCCTAATCGGACCAAGAGATTAATTTAAAAAGGAAAAGTTTTCTTCTTTTTTATAGTCTAATATATAATGGTTGCTTTCTTATAGTCTAATATTTAATGAATTCTAGCATTATAGATTAATCATGTATACCTGTATGGATCATGCAATCTTGCTTCTTCATCCTTCCTCTTGTTTCTCTTGTACTAGCAATTGGACCTGATGACAAGTGGCACTCATATATACCAAGGTTTAAAATGTCGATGTCGATGGAAATGTTGCTTACCAAAATATAGGACATATGTCGGAAATGTTGGAAATGTCGAGGGGAAATATTGTAAAAATTAGAGACATTGTGGAAACATTATGAAATATGTGGAAATATGCAAAGATATTTTGTAAAATGATAAAAGAAGCATTAATACATATTTCTAGACTATTATNATAAAGCTAAGAAACTAAGATCAATAACAAATTAGTAAATGACAATTTACTGATTTATTATGCATTTTGATGTTTTTACAAGGTTATCTGATATTTTCTTTTCTTATTTTTAGTTCTGATTTATTATAAATTCTAATATATTTATTTCACACTAGTATGTTGTTGTTACCATTTGGCTGGAGGAGATGTATGTTGTTACCATTTGGCTGGAAATTAAAGCGGAGAAAATGAAAACTTTGGCGGATTTCAAGGCAATGGTTCCGATAGGTGTGGACCTTGTGCAAAAGGTGCTTGTAGGGAAGCCTATTGAAGAGGAAGTGAGTTCAGTGAGGGAAAACATAGAGAAAGAGTGTGTCACGGAGGGTGGATCGCTGGCCCAAATGGGAGAATTGCTAGGTTTTATCTTGGTTGTCGGAGTTTCTAATGAGGGGGGTTGGACAGTGGTAGAACGAAGGAAAGGGGGAAGGCGTTATCTCAGCCGTAGAAATCAAAGGGAATTTAACAGCCAGGGTGGGTTTTTGTTTGAGGAGGGACAAAGGTCAACACAGTTTCAAAATTCAAATTCCACGCTTCCCGATGTGGTCGACGTGGCCCTTATCGACAAGCTAGTTGAGGCGGTTGCGGACTGCCTTAAATCCAAAGTAGCCGAATCGTTAGTGGGCCCCAAAGGCTCTAACAGTCACCAAAAAAAAGAGGATGGACCATTTCTATCAGGACCCCGACCCATTGTGAATCAAAAGCCCAGAAAAGAAAGTAGGGGCTGGGATCAGGCCTCAATATGGGGAGGGCAAGGCTTGAGTTTCACTGACCTCTGGAGCAAAGATGGAAGCATGAGAGTGAGAAGGAAAAAGGGCTCCACTCTGAGAAAGAGACACCCTGCTTAGGTCTTCCAAAAGAAGTGAACAAAGAAGGCAAGCAAACTCCTAATACCAGTCAGATAGAAGGGGTTTCGAAGGAAGAAGAGGCGACAAACTCCTAGTACCGGGAAGAAGGTGAGAAAACTCCTAATATCTGCCCTTTTGTTGCAGATATTTGGTTATGTTTTTTTTTCTTTGTCTGGGTGCAGGTAGACTTTACCATCGGAGGTTAATATGTTATTTGAACCCTTCCTATTTACTTGGCCAAAGAAAAGAGGGAGGATAATGTGGAGATTTGTTAGAGCAGCCTTGATTTGGACCATTTGAGAGGAGAGGAATGCACGAATATTCTTAGAAAAGGGGAGAAGCAAGGAAGAAATCAGGATTTGTGTGATGGTTAGGGTGATCCATTGGATCAAAACTCTGGAGTTGTTTTCCTAGTTTTCCTTTGATGATATTTGGAGGAATTGGGAAGTAGTTGTTAAAAGTTCTAAGAGAAAGGGCAGATTGGAGGTTGTTTGGGCTCCTCAATTGAAGGTTTTGTTAAACTAAACTTTGATGGGAGCAACTGAGGTAATCCAAGCCCTTATAGAATAGAAGGGGTTTTAAGAGATGGAGAAGGTAAATTTATAGCACTTTTTTTCTAGTCCCGTGGGTATGGGTGACCCCCTCAAAGTGGAACTGCTAGCTGCAATCCAAGGGGTGCAGATAGCTAGTGAGCTAAACTTGACAAACATGGTGATTGAAGGGGATTCAAAAGTGGTGATAGAATGGCAGTCTATAATTTGGTGCTACTGGACTGAGATGAAAAAATTTACATGGTCAACCAGGAATATGAACTTGAGAATACAATGGATGAGGAGATCAGCAAATGGGATGGCAGATGCTTTGGCTAAGCAAGGGGTGGAGAGGTCTATTTTGTTTGAGGCACATTTGTGGTGTGATTTCTTTTATGTATGAGGGGTAGCAGTTCGTGCCTCTCTTAGGGATGCTTGTAAAGATATGATATAAAGCTTTTTAATAAAATTAAATCATTTATTATGAAAAAAAAAGATATCAGCAACCAGGGAAGAAGTTCCAAGGATAGTTATAACAGAGAAGAGGAGGCTTGTTCAAGGATGTCTCTACAGATGATTTGATTAGAGGCTGGAATATTTTAGCAAGATCTTCTACTTCATCACCTACCATACAAGCAGTTTGGTCCCCTCCTTTGCAGTGTCATGTCAAACTGAACTTTGATGGAAGCTCTATTGGGAACCCCGGACTTTCTGGAATAGGGGGTGTGTTTAGAGATGCGGAAGGAAAAATCCTAGCTCTGTATTCTGGCCCAATAGGTGTGGGGGACTCGCTTAGAGCTGAAGTTTTGTCTCTCCTCCAGGGGCTCAGATGGGCCAAGCAATTGGGTTTCCAACAGTTGGAAGTGGAGCGGGATTCAAAATTAGTAGTAGGATGGCTGCAATCAAACAGTTTGGGAACGTGGTCCCTTAGACAACAGGTAAGGGAATTATTGAGCCTCACAAGGGAGCTGGATGCAAAAGTGTATTGGTAGGAGGTCAGCAAATGCTTTAGCTGACTACCTAGCAAAACAGGGGGTGAATCGGGAGTTTTTGTTTTGTGCAGTGTTGTAAAATTTTTGTTATTCAGGGGTCACCTTTTACTTTGGAAGGTGACAGTTGTTTCTTATGGTTTTATCTAATGAAAGTTACTGTTTCCTATCAAAAAAAAAAAAAAAAGAGGAGGCTTGTAGAAGGGTCAGCAGTATTCTATTCCCCCATTTCAGAGAAGCAGGAGGCCTTGGTGTTATCTATAGCTGTTTCAGAAGACAACAACGGTTTAGAAGCCTTTCCCTTTCTAGAAGAAGTCCAGATGTAACCGGTGCCAGAACCGTTGGTGGTACTCCTCCCAGCCAACGAGGTCCAGCAGTATTAGCCTCAACAAGTGAATTTAAGGTACGTAGCAGAAAATTAAGTTTCTAATTGGATTATGCCTATATTTCTTGGCTTTGGGAATTCTTGGGGGTTTCTTTCAAGGGACTTGAAGAGGAAACAAAAGCCCTCTTGGTGGCTATCAAAAATAGAATTTTGGTAGAAAAGGGAAAGAAAAATAGAAGGCAGTCCAAGGAGTTATTGAGGTTTGCATGAGGTTTAAATGACAGTGCGGGAAGTGCGAGAAGAAGTGATAACTCTTCAAGATATTAGTAATGGAAAACTTAAAACTAATCTCATGGAATTTCCAAGGCCTAGGTTCAGGCAAAAGAAGAATGGTAATTGGGGGTTTCTTAAGGGATAAGAAGCGCTAATGCAAGAAGAAGGATCAACTCCATAAAAAGGCTGGAAATTGGAGGTCGAATAATGGAGCAAGAGAAAGACTTAGCATATTCTTTTGTTGGTTTTTACAAAGATCTTTTTAGTGAACCATGCAAGAGAAGACCAAAT